TATTAGATATGCCAAGAGAATGTAAAAAATCCATAGGACAACATGACAGAAATAGAAATGTAACATTACATCTCTTTTGCATCCTGCTAAGCCACAGACTTTCTCTACTCTTCCACAAAAATGATTTTTTTCTTTTTCTGTATGTTTGTGTCAGGAGTGACTTGAGACACTGCACAAAAATGATGTATCTGGGCCTATTTTTGAACCACGTGAAGATTTTAAATAGGTAACATCAGCAGTATCTCACAGCATGGGGAAATAATCCCCATAAAGGTGATAGTCCTAAAGAAAACACAGGAACAGTTTATTTCTCCTCCTGGACATTAGCTAATTTGAGCAATGGGACATACTAATCTAAAGATCATTAAGCAGAATATTAAGTGAAGCACAAAGCAACCAGCTTGACTGTATCTAATTTTAGTACTTGACTTATGAGTACTTTACTTTGCAATAGTGACATGCTATTAGCATAATAGATCTCTTCATTTTAACACCAAATATACCTGACCTACTTAACCATCTTCGTTCCCGTAATGTAATTCACAGGTCCGTTTTGAAATCAGGTTGCAAATACGACAAGACAACTCCTTTGCCAAACAGCATGCTCCAACTGAGCACTGTTGCAAAATTAAATTTTAATATTTGATAATACTGCAGCAGCCAGTTATTTACAACAGCAAACTACAGATTAGCCAAAACTCTGTAAATTAGAATGCTTATATACATGGAGCTTGAGAACTAATTATCACTGCAATGCAAGTTCCACAATAGTTTCAAAGGTCTCTCCTGTATTTCTCAAGCAATATACAGAAGACATGGCCTTCCTGTTGGGAACTCTAAGAAATGTAGCCAGTTGTGAGGAATGATGATGTATCAGTCCAATAACTTTGTATGCAGAGGACATATTAATGCATTTTGAGAGTTAACAGCTTTCAAAGTATCCACACACACCATACACACACCACAAAAGCTGCCCAAGCATTTGGTCCTGGAAAGATCCAGTGGACAGACTTCATGGTGTGAAGACCAGTTCCCAAAGGACTACGTGATATCTCCATGTCTTTGTACATAAGACATAGCTGTTCCCAATTGGTTCCCAGACTGTTTGTCTATCTCGTCTTGCCTATTGCTCTGATTCTACTTCCTTGAAATGAGGAGGTTCCACTGGATCAGTTCCTCAAGCAGAAAAGATGTGGCTTCAAGGACCACAATCACACATTCTTCTAAACCATAGCTTACTGTAAACTACATGAAGAGGAAGAAACCATAATAGACCTCTGTGTTGAGTACTTCCATTCTATATTCAGTGATTTCCTGGGGGGAAGAATCTAAGAGCCACAAAATGAGTTCACAGAGCTACACATAATCCAAACTTTTCCCACCCTTGATCTAGAATGACAAACCGATATGGACTCTAGATTTCAGATTTTGGGATATTTCTCTATTTCCATATCTGTACCTAATGAGATACATGAGACTAAAATCTAAACATAAATTCATCTCTATTTCATATATACTTTATATACATAGTTTCAAGATAATTTTATACAATATTTTTTATAATTTTGTGCATAAAACACAGTTTGCGTACATCGAACCTTCAGAAAGGAAAGGTATTACTACCTCAGTCTCCCATCTGGACAATTTTGGGGTATTTTGGAATTCTGGATAAGGGATGTTCCACTTAAAATAACCTATGCACTTGGGATACTGAAAGTATTACCATAGAATAAGCAATGTGAGGTGCTTTAAACTTTTTAAGGCACTAAGTTATAAACATAAAAACAATCATTGTAGATAGATTGTTACGACCAATAGTCACAATACTACACCATTGTGCAAACCAGGAGTGCTTCTATGAAATTTATCAGCACTCAGGTATATTGTAATGCAGTTTGGAGTGAGACAAACTTTTTACTGTTATGCCTGTTTCCCAAAAATTTACACAAGAGGAAGTACACTGTGCCAAATGACTAGCAATGGGGTATTTCCACAATCCAAACTGCTTTCTGCTGCTTTGAAAAGAGATGCACTAGTTTAAAATAGAAGGCTGCTGGAACTGGCACAATAAGGAAACAGTGAACAAAAGACAGTAAATGGAAAAACAAGGGAATGTACCTATTAAGTCCCATACAACCTGGTTCAGGTTATCTGAAGGACTGTATCTTCCTGATAAACCTGTCCATGTTTTGAGATAACCGGAGGAGGTCCCACAATCCTCATTGGTGCATTTGGTGGGAATGCAGAAGAAGACTGTCTCTGTGGCTGCCCCTAGGTTCTCGATCTCCCTTCCCAGAGAGGCTAGACTGGCATCTTCCTAACGTTCCATAAACAGGTGAAAAGTTTCCTGTTTCTTCAGGCTATTGGGGACATTATTTAGGCAGAATTGACCATATATAATACTTTAGATTTTCTATTTTGTTTTGCTCTTCTGGGTTTCATGGTTCACATATTTAAATCGTTTTAACTTTTTATATAGTTTAATCAATTTTTCACTGTTCTGTTTTTAAAAATACATGGTAAGCTTTCCAATTTTTGTTCATATCCCTGAGAATCCAAAGTAGCTTCCTCTTGTGTAAATTTTTGGGAAACAGGCATAACTGTAAATACTTGGAGAAAAGGCTGGCTACAAACAAACACACCCACAGTTATTTCATATCAGAATGGTCAAATCCTGCTTCTCAGCTACATATTTTTAAGAAGTATTTGCCTGGCCTAAAACTGCTCTCTATAAGGTATCTACATCCCACTTCCCTACCCTTGGTTTCCCAGTGGGCTAATGCATACTCCTAGCTAAGATGTCCAGTCTTGGTTTATATCCTTGAGAATCCAAAGGAGCAATTTTTCAGATTCGAAATAGATTGTGATTATGCTTCTGTATAATTACTAGGAGCTTACCTAGCAACTACCTTATTCTAGTCTTGGGATTTGACCCTGAAGGCTTGTTGCAATCTCACAGAAGAAATGTATACTCTATTGATATGTGAGTGACCTTGGACACTCTACTGAAATAGTGTGGGTGGAAGCATGAGTGTCCTGCATAAACATCATGCATGACGGTTCCAGGAGACACAGATCTCCCTGTGGGGGATGAAACACATCCTCCTGTTCCTATTTTTCCCTTGTTGACAAACTAAACAAGTGGCTATGGCAAATTCCCAATTGCTTCCCACTAATATTCACAGATATCTGACTCTGCATACAGTGATAACTTTTTTTTTGCAAAATGTGTACTATTAAAAGCTGAGGTTGTTCTGAAAATACTCAGAAGATGCTGTCTTACAGCCCCCACATACCACGCTGTATAGTCTCTTTATGAAAATGTTAGATAAGCTCTCTACTTATGATTTGGCCTTGGTTAAATAGCCAACAAAATAACTCCCCACTGTCATCTCTTTAAATAAAAAGACACTAAACAATGCCATACATTGTATTGTTCAGCCAGATGTGCCAGCTACACAAGTACAGTGGAGAAGGGACACAGCTGTGCAGAAGAGCCTGTGCTTTGCACTCACAGAATCCCAGATGCAACCTTGGCATCACCACTGAACAAGATCTCACCCAGTATGACAAGAAGAGACCCATACAGAGGCACTCTAAAGAACTACTGCCCGTCACAACAAATACTATAAAACAAGGCATGGGGAAATTTCAGCCCTCCAACATCCGAAAGACAACAAGTTCTTCAGAGTTTGGTGCAGATGAAACTGTAGTCCAACCAGTGTATATGTAGACATGTAGATGCTTATCATGATGTGATTTCATAAATATCCAGCTGAATTAGAGAATCTTATGGTCAAATTGTATGATCTGTTAAAGAAAATTCAACACACCCAAAGCTCCAAACACTGGCCATGAAAACTTGAAAAATATGTTTTCTCTACCACTATAGGCATTGTAGGTTGGACTGAGGACTTGCCTCCTTATCTCCCATACTTCCTTTTGCATGCAGACTTCAGACTGAAATAGTTTTAGATCATGGTGAAAGGAAACTTTCACCCTTGTCAGGAGCTAACTAATGAGGTGCTACCTTGAACCATCAATGGCATTTTAAATCTTTCTAGACTCATTAGTCACAGCCACAGCTCTGACTGCATTTTTTTGCTTCTAACTGAAAGCTTTAAACATTGTTGAGAATCTGTGATGCATTTGGTTTACATCTCATCTTCTTTCAAACTGACTTTCCCCTTTGTAGTATAGTTTGCTTCACCACAGTGCTTTGTGAGATACATGCCAGCTTTCAGAGTAGTTGATCAGCAGGATTGTCCAATCATACGGAGTTTGAACTGACCTCTGGTTGGCATCTAGTTAGTATGAATGTAGGAAAATCGCTACACCATAATTAGAACAAGCTATAGAAGACGTGGAGGCAATCTGTACAGCAGACAAGAAGAGAAAGTGGACAAGTCTATATAATGCTACTGGGTTCTTAATCTGGATTAGGCAACTGGAAGCAATGCATTTGTAATGGTGGCCTTTAGAAAGTAAAGGGGTGACATTTTCCATCAATCCTTTTCTATACCTAATGGTAGATGCAACATAAAATTTAGCTGCATCCGACTTATAACCAACATGACTAAAAAAACTATTTTTTGTTGGAGAAAAAGGAATAGCAGTTATACTCTAAAAGCAAACCTCACTGCTTATCTTTTAAGAATGGTTCTTTTCACTTCCACAGAATAACACAGTGACCCAAATTTTGTTACAAAGCACTGTTGCTTTTGCACACATGACTCTCAAAGCTCTGCTACTTCTGCTATTACCAAGTACAGATCGATTTCACATTATTGAGAAAGAAAAGTGCAGAATATAAATAAATGAAAAGCACTGTGCAACGCCATTTAAATTTTATTCAGCGAACAATATTCTATTTGCAAAGCAATTCTGCTTAAAGTAAGCGGTCAATACTTTGACCAAACAAGCATACTGAAATGGAAATAAAATACGCAAGCAACAAATTTTCAATGTCATTCCCTTGTCAAGCGTTCTTGTCAACTTACTGCAAGAAACCAAATCGATCTGTGACTTTGTAAAGGAGGTAGTCTGCATCTTCCCAAGGCTCAATCTGCACGCCTTCCCGTCCCTGTAGAAAACACATAATGAAGATGAGCAAGGATTCATTTGTTACAATATGATGATGTGTGCTGGAGAGGGGTGGACTGATTTAATATGTCACAACTACACATAAATCTCCTGTTGTAGCGGCTTAAGCAGTTCAGCTTTTGTTTCCTGCTTTTTCAACAGAAACTAAAATAAAAGCCCAGCATGTAAAAGGTAGTCCAGTGGACAGCAGTCCATACTTATTTTATTCCTTAGCAAAACATGGTGCCTACAATGCCATTTTTTTTCTACTGTTTAAGCACCATTAAACACCACCACAATTACCATTTGCCCATCGGTAATTATGCCTCCCAGGTTCAATTAAAAGTGGAACTTTTAAAAAGTGACACCATTAACAGCTGATTAATGAATGAGAACTCTACAAAATAATGGATATTAGTTATAATATTAGCTGAATGCATTTTCCAACTACAAGATAGGGCCTACTAATAGTAATATTATTGTAACACTCATATCATGTTTTCAGAGAAACATTTGCCTGATTAATGCTAGACATAAAATATAGCATTCAAAGGACCTCTTGTATGATCCAACATGTTAATTCTTATGTTTCTGTCAAAAAAAGTCATGTTTCCCCTATACTTCATCTTGCTATAGAGCAGTGGTTCTCAACCTATGGGTCCCCAGATGTTTTGGCCTTTAATTCCCAGAAATCCTAATAGCTAGTAAACTAGCTGGGATTACTGAGAGTTGTAACAAAACAAAATAAAATATAAATAAATATCTCAACTGCCTGGCTCAAGCCAAGGGCCACCACTCAGAAATGCCTCTCAGCCTCAGGAAAAGAATGTAACAAAAGTCTATTACTCTATAGACAGTATTTCTCAACAGCCCAACAACAGCCATCCCTATAGGCATCTTTGTCTATCAAACCCAGTGGTTCTCAACCTGTGGGTCCCCAGATGTTTTGGCCTTGAAGTCCCAGAAATCCTAACAGCTGGTAAACTGGCTGGGATTTCCGGGAGTTGTAAGCCAAAACACCTGCGGACCCACAAGTTGAGAACCACTGCTATAGAGAGTATAGATTTCCTCTATAGAACTGGACTGACTTTCCTCCAAAGTTTTCCTCCTTTATATCTAGAAAAACAAGTTTGCATAGTAGTCAAGTAGGAAAATATCATATGGCATTTACAAGGCTGTCTAAGAACTGTGCGAAAGAAGCAGGTGATTGCATTGACTAGAAATATATATTTGCCACTCCTCACTTGGGGCAATAACTAATCACCCAACCAAGCAAAGAAGAACTGCAAGAAAGGCAGACACTTACTCTGTCATACTTGGCAACGATTTCTGCTCTTTCTTGGGCAAGTTTGACAGCAGCATCCTGCTCAGCATCTGAACCTGAGGTGGGAAAAATAAGATGGACACATAAGAATATATAGAGGAATAGTAACAGGAATAATGTTTGTTGGGGGGGGGGGGGGGGGAGAGAGATAACACTAATGCTGGAAATCATAGAATCATAGAGTCCAACTCTCTGCCAAAAGCAGGAAAATTGTATTCAAAGCACTCCTGACAGATGGCCATCCATCCTCTGCTTAAAAGCCTCCAAAAAAGAAGCCTACACCACACCCTGGGGCAGAGAGTTCCACTGATGAATAACTCTCACAGTTAGGAATTTCTTCCTAATGTTCAGGTGGAATCTTTCCTGTAGTTTGAAGTTCCTAGTCTCCAGGGCAGCAGAAAACAAGCTTGCTCCCTCCTCCCTGTAACCTCCCCTCACATATTTATACATGGCGCTCATCATATCTCCTCTCAGCCTTCTCTTCTGCAGGCTAAACATGCCCAGCTCTTTAAGCCATTCCTCATAGGGCTTGTTCTCCAGACCCTTGATCATTTTAGTCGCCCCCCCCCCCAACTTAACATTTCCCTTAAATTGTGGTACCCAGAACTGGACAAAATATTCCAAATGTGGTCTGACTAAGGCAGAATAGAGGGGTAGCATGATCTCCCTGAATCTAGACACTATACTCCTATTTATGCATGCCAAAATCCCATTTTTTTGCCACCACATGACATTGTTGGTTCATGTTTAACTTGTTCCCCATGAAGACTCCAAGATCTTTTTCACACATACTGCTGTCGAGCCAGACATCGTACTCCATTCTGTATCTTTGCTTTTAAAATGTTCTTTAAAATGTTCTCTATTTTAACCAATCATTTGCTCCCAAGTAGTTGTGAACAGAGAGTTAGTGTGGTACACTGGCTTGAGTTATGGACCAGGATTTGAGCCCCTACTGAGCCATGAAAAACCCATATGTGATCTTGGGCAAGTCATACTCTTTTGGGCTCAGAGGGAGTCACTGACAAGCCTCTCCAAAAACCTTGGCAATAAAACCGTAAAGACCATTAAAGGTCAGAGTCAATTTGGAAGCACACAACAAATATGACCAAGTTGTGAACATTTTCTCAGGTACTGATATAAGCAAAGCCATGCTCTCTTGGTATCAAGTCCAAAGCACATGAAAGGCAGATAAAAAAACATGAACAACATGTATTTGATAATGGTCCCAATAAAGAAAGCCTAGCTTTGACAGCCTTAGAAATATATAGGGACAAGATCTCCATATGAAAGAAACTTACTGTTAGAAAGGTCAAAACATATTTAAAAAAATAATTCAGCTTAGAACTATATAAACAATATGCAGACATTCATCCTATTCACATATGACTTAAAATGGTGGGGGAAAAGGCCTCCATGCACGTTCTCCCGCTGCTGCCCAAACATCTCCATCTCCTCAGTTTTCCAAGCTGACAGCATAAACCGAAAGAGACTTCAACCCAAGTAAAAGCAAATAATGAAAAATAATGAAAAATACTGCTTTATAAGAATCACACAGAGACTAATTTTGAAACAGAAGCTTTAGACCTTCCTTATCAACACAGGAAAGAAGGGGAAGGATAGGCATTAACAATAAAACTGGAATGCGGATTCTAGGTGAGCCCTCTGTGTTCCCACCTTTTTAGCTCTAACAAAGTTATGCTGACCACATAATTAAATCTTCAAAGAAATATTAACTAATTTGCAATAGGTGCAGCATTGTGAAAATATCGATACATCAATACCTCCTGATGAGGAAGGCACAACCGATAACCGAAATACAATCTCATTTTGAAGTGTGCAGCAACAGAGGACAGTAAACAGCAGAGCAAAGCAAGGCAGAAAAGGCTCAGCATTTTGCTCTTTTTAAATTTAAACTATATCCACTTTTCATAATTACCAGCTAATATAAAAACATAAATTATCACATAAAAGCTACTATATATTAGACAACACGAAGCAAATTAACTGATGGCAGAAAAGTGCGTGGAATGTGAAATGACACAGGTTAAGGCAATAAATAAGGGTTATGTTAAGGATGGTTAAAGTGCATCCTTCTTGATTACATAAGGATGCAATTCCTATCAGTCCTAAGCAGAACTTGTAATTGTGGAGAATGCTGGGAGCTGCAGTCAAACATCATCTGTCTGGGTGTGCTTCAGTCATTCTGAATTACATTAGTGGTCATCAAGATCTCCTAGATAAGACCAATAATGGTGGACACACTATTGAGGAGATACTTCTATAAATATATTTTTGCATAAGACAGGGCTAAAAAGTAGTTAGACCCGTTAGAAAGCCCTGGGATTTATGACAGGGAAAGAGCCAATAAGCCTTGGCAAAGATCTTCCCAAAGGGAACTGGGAAAGGTTACTTTTGGGGATGTCAAAAGTAGAATTGCTTATTTTATTTATTTATTTATTCATTCATTCATTTGAAACTTTTATACCCCGATGTTCTCAACCTCCATAGAGGGACTCAGACCATGCTTAGCTAGCATGGACAATCTTCAGCATAGGAGCAAAGCGAGGAGCTGAGGAGCCTTATAACCAAGGTGAAAGAAGAAAGTGCAAAAGCTGGGTTCAGTAAACAAAGTGTATGGGCTAGTTTCTTAAAAAAAAATAGAAACAAGATTATGGCAATCAGACTGGTTGATAACTGGCAAATGGAGGGAGAAAACATGGAGGCAGTGACAGACTTCTAGCCAGAAAGATTACTGCAGATGCAGACTGCAGCCAGGAAATCAGAAGACGTTTACTTCTTGGGAGGAGAGAAATGACCAATCACACTGGCATCACACTGGCAACAAAGATCCACATAGTTAAAGCAATGGTATTCCCCATAGTAGCCTATGGATGTGAGAGCTGGACCATAAGGAAGGCTGGGTGAAGAAAGATAGACACTTTTGAATTGCAGTGTTGGAGGAAAATTCTGAGAGTGCCTTGGACCGCAAGAAGATAAAACCAGTTCATATTCCAGGAAATAATGCCCAGTTGCTCACTGGAGAGAACAACTTAAATCAAGAAATAGTTTTCTAAGATCTAGAGACACTTGCTGGAACACCTCAGCAAGCGAGAGTCCAAAAGTGGCAGGCTCAAACCCAGAAACTCAATCAATGGCTGATACTCAATGAGAGACTCCCCCCTGGGCACACAGAAAACTGGGCGACCTGGAAGGCGCTGAACAGACTGCGCTCTGGCACCACGAGATGCAGAGCCAACCTTCAGAAATGGGGCTACAAAGTGGAATCCACAACACGCGAGTGTGGAGAAGAGCCAACTACAGACCACCTGCTGCAATGCAACCTGAGCCCTGCTACATACACAATGCGGCAACACCAGAAGCACTCCAAATGGCCAGATACTGGTCATAGAATCATAGAATCATAGAATCAAAGAGTTGGAAGAGACCTCATGGGCCATCCAGTCCAACCCCCTGCCAAGAAGCAGGAATATTGCATTCAAATCACCCCTGGTCAAAGGACATTTAATCAACTACCAAGCTTGCAAACTCTGTGTCTTTTATATGTTTGTTTGTTCTGTCAAAAATGTAATACAACTGTTCGGTTGCCTGACACAATAAATAAATAACTGGAGGGAAGGATATTAGAGGCAAAGATGAAGTACTTTGGCCACACAATGAGAAGACAGGAAAGCTTGGAGAAGATCATGATGCTGGAGAAAATGGAAGGAAAAAGGAAGAGGGGACAACCAGGGCAAGGTGGATGGATGGTATACTCAAAGTGACTGGCTTGACCTTGAAGGAGCTGGGGGTGGCAACGGCCAACAGAGAGCTCTGGCATGAGCTAGTCCATAAGGTCACGAAGAGTCAGAAGTGACTGAATAAGTAAACAACAAAAAGCATGGCCAGCAACTTTGACCCTACCCTACAAGAACTCAGTAAAGGACAAAGATTGTAGAGCTAAACATGGAAGGTTTGTTTGTCAGTCAAATTGAAATGGGAGTCTATAAATGCACCGGAAGGTTAGAACTACCAGTGTCAAAATTCTGCATTCATTCATTTTAACCTGTCAAAATATTTCTGCCTGCACCAACAGGTCTCATACCTTTTTAATAGGCGTGTGATTTATTCTCGACATCTCCCTTGGTTCCTGTTAGGGTGAGCTTACAGAGATACAGGTAAAGAGCAACATAACAACCACTATCCATGCCAAAATGTAACAGCTCCTGAAAATTGCAAAACCAGATCAGATCCACAGAGTGTGAAGATCAGAAAGGAGGCTTTTGAAGAGCTGAAAGTTTCCCTGTTCCAATGCCTCCTCCCTTGGGAAAGCTAAGAATGATCGAACATGCTGTCAGAGAAAGCACGGGTCATGTAAAAAAAAAATAGCAGGGGCAAATAAAAGCAAGCAACAGAAATAATGGCTTGATTCTTCGACATGACAGGTGAAATGAAGGAGTGAGAGATTATGAGGCATAAAGCCCGGAGTAGTGCTGTGAATGCTAAACGGATTTCACTACTCCCCAATGCCTCCGGAGACCTTTGGGTTCAACCTGGCTCCTTGAAACAGGTCACTGGTCCTTTGCCCTCCAGTGCCAACCTAGAAATAAAATTATCCCCTCTGGGGCAATGATAGTTTACAGCAAGCCGCTGGGTGGAGGTGGGAGGCATCCAATCCAAAATGTTTACTGCTATTACCTATAGGCTATTCCAAAGAAAACAAAACAAATATATTATCTCATTGGAGGAAGAATAAAGGATATAAAGTAGCTAAGTAAATAAACTTGGCTTTAAAAAAAAGCAAGAAACCATTTTACTATGACATTGTATATAAAGGAATCTTTATAAGGGGGTGGAGGCTGTAGGAAAACCCCAACAGATATACGTAATTTAAAAATGCATACAAACTTTCCACAAGATTTCTGGTCCTTCACTCTCAAAACCTGAGCCAAAATTGTGTGCCACATCTCCAGGCAGTCCCACTCACTGCAAATATTAGGGGAATGCTGAAGTGAAAGTTCAACAAACCTGGAACCTAAGGTTTCAGCGGTGGCTAGGG